CATGTGTAAGTAAAGCAGAAAATTTTGATGCAAATGCGCATCATGAAGCTTAAACATAGCTCATGCTATTACTAAAATTTGACAAAACTTTGACTGCCTTTACCTAACTGCAAAATTTTGAAAAAGTGGAACTTAATAAAGTGTGAACGTGCGACTTATGGATTAAATGTATTGGTTACATTCAAAATGGTGGAAACGGTCGAAAATTGAAAAGTCAATCAAGACAACTTTATGATGTACGTAATCGACCTCTTCAAATTACAAGGATGGCAATGCTCATATCATTCATGTAAACGGAGGCATAAGATACCAATAATGTTAGATAAATATATAGTGGACAAAAGTGACGGGCCTCAAGCTTTAGAATACAACAAAACTCACATTTACAATGTGGTTGTGGATCAAGAAGTTAAATATTGTAAATTGTATTAAATTAAATTGTAAATTGTAAATCGTAATTTTAACTTGTTAAAAAAATTATAGAACTTGGTGTATATTAATCATATAAACACTTAAGAACTTGGTGCATATTGAGCACATAAACACTTAAGAACTTGGTGTATATTAAGCATATAAACACTTAAGAACTTGGTGTATATTAAGCATATAAACATTTAAGGCACTAATTATCCTTAAAAGAGGTTCGCAATGAAAAATTATATGTAGACCAAACACAATACTGATACAAATACACGCTGCATGCGTGTATTTGCTTACTATAAAGTTTTTTTAGTTTAACATTACTCGTACTGCCCCATATAACATTGCAGTTGGAGATAAAACTATGAATAAAAGTATATATTGTTTTAAGGATACAGTGTTGAATGGTTTAGTTTTATATAATATGGAAATATTTCTTGAGATTTTATTTTCAATATATTTCACATGTGGTTTCCATGACAATTTTTATTTAGTATTACTCTTAGAAAATTAACGATTGCTTCCCTTTTAATAAATGTTTTATTAATTAGGAGATTGGGTAACTTTAATGGAACATTATCAACTTTAGTAGGTTAGTAAAATAAAATTAATTTAATTTTTTCTACATTCAATAAATGTCTCATGCTTGTTAACCATTTGTTTATTTTGAATAGTTTTTTATTAAAAATGTAAAAAAAAATTTTCATGTCTTTGTTGAAATAAAAAAGACATAAAAAAAACGTCTGCAAACAATATAACTTTAAAATATTTGATGTTAAGTATAAAACATTTATATACAATAAAAGTAATCGACGAAGTAAAGGCAGAATTTTTGTCAGTTGCGAAAAAATATAACATTTTGAAATTGTTCTTACCTTAACAACAATATTGAGAGACTATGCAGACAAAAATGATGATATAGGGCTACAGCACTATCGAAAAAAGTGTTGATAAATTATTTTTCTAAATATAAAACTTTCCTTAGATCAACGGATATTTCCTAATGTACTAAAATTAGCAAATGTATTTTCAATTTACAAAAATTATGATTATTTTAATGTTTAAAACAACATATATTTATCAGTGCTTTCTATATTTTCAAAAGTATTTAAACGTGTAGTTTACAATAGAATCTTTGACCATTTTAAAATAAGCAGCTTTTTTCAAAATAATTTTGAATTTCAGAAATTCGTTCAACTGAACATGCATGTATTGAATTTGTCGATCTACTTGATCGACTAATTCTTTAACGAATGAATTAAGTCATTACTCTTTAAAGAATGGCTTTAACAAAACTAATTTAGCAGATATATTTATTTATCTATCCATTATATCTATTTGACACTGTTGAATATTGTATCTTGTTAAAAAAGGTTTAAGCATGATGGGGTAGTTAATTGTATGATTGGGAAGTTATTGAATTATAATTTACTTCACTGATAAAAAGCAATATGTTCTATATAAGAAAAACTGAATACAAAACTTTCCACACCTAAAATCGATACCTTATCAAACAAAATTATGCTGTTATGAATTTTGAATTAAATAAGTTAAATAATAGGTTTATGGCTTTAAAACTCTCATTAAACGTCGAAAAAACAAAGTTTTAAAACATTATTTTTTCGATATAAAAATAAAAAAAATTATAAACAAAAAAAAGACGTAACATAAACATAAAATTTTAAGAATACTTGTTAACAAATTTTATTTTGGCTTTGCCATGTATTTTCAATCAAAAGTTAGTAAGACTAGGTTTTATGTATAAAGTTTGTCCATTTGTGAACACAATTTGTCTAAAATTAATACACATTTCTTATATTCGTTGTTTCATAAACTATGCTAATATTAATGGGGTAGTATGCATAAAACAAAACTTACTAAGTTTGCAAAAAACAGGTGTGTAGAATTGCATGCGGGAAATAGTTTAATAATATGATCTGTTCTGATTGTTTATTAGCAATTTTTTTTTAAATATACGCCATTTCTTGGTTGGAATTCTAGTATTTTTTGTAGAAATTGATAGAAATATTGTATTTTGACAACTATATATAGTTAATATGCGTCAGAACCGATTAGAACTAGTATCTATAGTTAATAAAGGAACTTTTTTTAAAGATTTTAACTAATTTCATGTTAACCCCGATGAGCGGAATTAATTTAAAGACTCCAAAATGGTGTTCTTTAGATTCACTATTCCGGGTAGTAAAAAGGTTTTGAAATTTATATAAAAAAGAGAAAAGTACCTTCAAATGTTAAAAAAACCTGATCAAAAAAAATATATATAACATATAAAGCTTTTGTTTAGGCATAATATGCTTATAAAATTATGCTAATTTCAAATAAAAGAATTTGAATTATTTGTAAATCGCCTTAACTACACCGAGTACTCGTTTATTCATAGCTATATAAATTATGCATAAAGCTATGTAAATTAAGCAAATATTGTGTGGGAAACCTCTAAAAGTAAGTTTTAACATCTTTACCACCGTTAGAAACACACCATACGCCTTATATATTTTGAAAATCGTTTTCACCTTCAAAAAATGTATTTAAGTTAATAATATTAATAATGATAATATATAATATATCATTAATACTTAACATTATATATGTTTTGATGGGCTGATTTAACCTTTTTGACGCCTTCGTAAAATAATTTTTTCAATTTTTTTTGGACCAAAGTTTTCCGAAATAAAAAGTCATTTGACTAAACTTCCCATTAAAAAACCTATTCATTGATAAAGATCTTTTTATGTAACTCCAACAAAGCTCACCATAAACACCAACAGGGTTGTGCATAAATAAAATGCGAAATGTAGAAGTTTTCACGGTGTAAATCGGGAATAAAATGCAAGGAAAAAAAATACAAAAATGTGGATTAAATTGTGTTACTTCACAGAGAATTGAAGATAAATTTTCCGTGAGGAATCATAATTTGATGCTTTAATTTATCATTAGCTGATATAGCTAAAAGCAATTATAACGCACCCGTGGCGCAATGGTTAAAGTTCTGGCTCAGAACACAGGTCTGAAGTTTGACACTGGCTCTAGTACTATAAGCGGCATTGGTAAAAAAGGAGGCGTGAACTTTCTACATAAATGCTCTTCTGTGGTGCTCTGTAATAAGATGGTAAGGACTTTTAAGAGCACCTTATAGAAAAAAAGACTAAATAATAATAACAATAACAATAACACACACACACACACAGACACACACACACACACACACACACACACATATATATATATATATATATATGTATAAATATATATATACATATATATATATATATATATATATATATATATATATATATATATATATATATATATATATATATATATATATATGTATATATATATATATATATATATATATATGTATATATATATATATATATATATATATATATATATATATATATATATATATATATATATATATATATATATATATATATATATATATATATATATATATATATATATATATATATATATATATATATATATATATATATATATATATATATATATATATATATATATATATATATATATATATATATATATATATATATATATATATAAGATTCGTTATGTTCTAAAAGGTTCCGGGGTAATTTGCTAAATTAACATAATTTTTTAAAAAACTTAAAGTAGAGTGGGTCTAAGAGGTAATGTGGGTATAATCAACATCAGTTTTTCAGAAGAAAAGTTTTAGGTAAAAGATTTTTTTTTCTGTATGTAATTTTAATTATCATTTTACTGAGCAAATTCTTAAGTATATTTTTTGATCAAAATGGCGGATACATTTAAAAAGAGATTTTCATTAAAAACCTTCAGAAAAAAGGTACTAAAAACAGGATGAAAACACATAAATAATGTTTTATCTAGGAGAAAAAATGCCAGGTAATTAGGTTCAATTAGTTTTATAGCCGAATGATGCATAGCTTTTTTGAAATAGGCAACATTTTTGGGTGGGGTATTGTTGATCTATACATCAATGTGTTTTGTGCCGTTAAGAATCTAATGCTAACACAACCTTTAAAATGAAAATTAGTATAAATTAGAATAAATTAGTATAAATTAGAAGTCTGACTATGTTTTTGGATTCATTTTTCTAGAGTCATTTTTCATGTTTTCTTGAGTCATATTAAGAAAATTTGTAAAAAAGATATGAAAATTGAACCACAAGAATACTCTGCTTTCCTTGGAAATTAGCTAACAGAGATTTAAAAAAATATTTATTTTGCATTTCTAATTTACGCGTAAAGTTCTTTTGCGTTTAAAAATATTAAAGTTATGTTTAAAGTTTTGATCAAATAAATTATAATAAGTTTCATTATTAACATCAGTATTAAATCATGACAAATAAATAATAGTTTCTAGTTCAATATTAATTTAAAAAAATTGTAAATTAATTTTAAAAGTTTTTTGTTTTTTTATTTACATAAAGAAATTTAATTTTAAAAAATTAAAAGTTTAAGTAAAAAAATAACAATAAACGGTTGAACAGATTTATAAATGGCGCATTTAAAGAATTGTGCATTAGAGCATATCAGCTGAATGCAAGAACACGATGCATAGTATCTTTGTTGCACATAAGATGTTCACGCAAAGAAAAAAACGCGATTTAAACGATTGCTAAAAGAAACACGATATAAACAATTGAAACAACAGATAAAATCTGTCGGATTTCATACTATGATTATTTTTGACATAAGTTTTTTATACTTCGCTTTGTTTTCATGTTCAAATGCTTATCAAGCGTTTTTATTCGGAGATCTTGGCGATGAAAATGTAGTCAGTGTAAAAAAATCAGCTATACCGAATGTCAATAAAATGCAAAGTGTAGAAGTTGGAAACCTATTACCTGACGAAACTAATTTTCAAAGCATTGATAAAAAGCTTTCTAGTGAGGAAATCACACAGGAGCATACAAACTTTTATCCAGGCATACCTGAACAAAAGTTGCACGAAGTTAAAGTTTTAAATACAATGTCCAAAGAACCAACGTTGAACAACCAAGAAAATCCTTTAAATGAAAAAAATTATATTTCAAACGGATTTGTTAACAATGATCTTGGGGTTATGCAAAAACGAAACTTTTTATATAGAGGATTACCACATAGGGCGCCATTAAGCCCGCAAGAGGTTGTTGCTTTGCATGCAATAAAAAAAATTATTGAACCTTCCAGCGCTCATGAAAGACTGACTTATACAGAGCAACCTAATCAAGCTCGTAACCTGATTTTCCGTCAAAAAGCTGTAAGTATTGCAAAGGCATTACGATCTCCTAAAATAAAATCATTCCTAGGTATTAACAGACCATTGTGGCCTATTTCTTCAAAACTAATTCGATCTAATTTTGTTGCAGGTAAAAAATCAAACATTTTTAACTCACCAACTCTAAATAAGCAATTATTTCAATACCTTCAAACTAGGGACAGATATTATCCATTATATACTTCAGGTCAAGAGCTGCATCCTATTGGTCAGAAATTGAATAAGTATTTGTATCCATCTAAAAAATCTAGTCAAAGTTTATCTAAAAATCTTTTATATAAAGGACTTCCATTCAATATTAAAGCAAACCCAATGATTGACAAACGTATGTTTGCCCATGGAAATTTTAGAATACAAAGTTATCCTAGTGAAACAAAAAATGTCAAAAACTATGCAAAAATTCATGGCTCACCGATTAAAACATTTAGCGAAAAAAAAAGAGTTTGGCTTCCTTACCCAGGAAGAACCAAGAAACGAGTAATTAATGAGCAAGATGTTAATAATTTTTACAAGGAGATCAATTTAGCCAATGAATCATACAATCTAAGAAACGATGTTTTAAAGCCGTCGTTAGAAGGAAATTCATTAAGATATCCTATGAACTGGAGTGATTACAAAGAATATTCTGCACCAACATGGTTAGCGTCACTAAAAAAAGTAATACAACCTGCTGAATCGTTTATAAAACGTGACAAAGTTGAATTTCCAGTAATGAATAAAAAAGAAACCACAAATGCAAGCAAGAAACAACTTCCATTTTACGTAAGTGTTTAAACAGCTTTTCAAATATCAAGAATTTAGCAAGAGTAAAAAGAATTATTGAAACCCAGTTCATTCCCATCTCTTCAAAAAGTATTTTTAAGCCCAATTCATTCCCATCTCTTTAAAGAGTATTTTTGAAGTAATCAACTTTATTTAATAAAGTATATTTGTACAAATCCTAAATTTCTCATTTTTTAAAAATTTAGTAAAAGTTTTAATTTAAGGAAATTATGTCTGTTTTATCTTTTTAATTAAAAGCATCCTCTCAGCACTACGTTTCCAGTTATTTCAGCTTTTTTAACGCAACCAGGACAGATACCATGGGACTATTATAATCCGGAGTATCTTCCGGACGGAAGAATACGACCACCTTTGTATCCAATTTCAAAGTATCTTCGACCAGGTACATGTCTCCCAGAATCTTCCCTATGTGATAAAGGTCGACATGAACAATGCTGTGGGGCTGCTACATTTTGCACAGATTTCTGGGGTATCAGTAAGTGTCTTGCTCATCAAAAACCTAACGAAAATGACTACCATAATCCTTTACAAATAGAAGTTAACAATTTTATGAAAAGTAATTATAACTTTTGGCTTGCAGCTTTAAATTATGGTTTTTAGACTAAAAAATGTATTAAGCATTATTTCCAAATGTAGGAAGTTGAATAAAGTAGAACATTGAAAGGTCGATCATCAAACTAATTAAAGAAACTTGCACTAAGTTGCGCTTTTAAAATTATTCGAAAAAAAAGACAAATTAATAAAGTAGCAGTGATCTAAAAACAATATTTCATTTAATTTTAAAATTATTTATTTGATACTATATGCAATTAACAATAATTGACACTAGTAAAATTTGTTTATACTGTTATAATCATTATTGCTGTTTATCATTGTACAAATATTCACTATTATGTCGCCATTATTGTTCTGACTGCCACTTTTTGTTCAATAAAGTTTAATAAAATCATTATAATGTTTATTTTTATTTAGCTATATTAAAATAAAAGGTACATTAAAAAATTAAAAGTATATTAAAAAATTACATGTGCATCAAAAAATTATAGGCACATTAAAAAATTGCAAATACGAAGTATAGACTTTTTGACTTTTTGTTAAGTGATTTTCTACTAATTTAATTTATAATTGCTCTGTTCTTTTAAGAACATTGAGAACAGTCTATTTGTAGAATACATTTTAAAATTGTTTATATATATATATATATATATATATATATATATATTTATATATATATATATATATATATATATATATATATATATATATATATATATATATATATATATATATATATATATATATATATATATATATATATATATATATATATATATATATATATATATATATAGACAATTTTAAAATGTATTCTACATATATATATCAGTAGCGTAGCGGCAAAAAATAGGCCTCCCCGCAAAATTTTAATCTGGGCCCCTAAATTACTTTTTTTTTCTTGACAAAAAAAATTAGATTTCTTACTCACTATACTCGTTATTTATAAACATTTTCCAATGTTCTTATTTTACAAATTTCATCAACAAAAATTAAATAAAAAGTAATAACGACATGAGCAAGGTTTCTACTTACTATAGTAAGTACTATAGTAAGTAGAAAATCTAATCAAAGTTTTTACTTGTATTTATAGCTGTGAATCGGTCTATAACACCTTTTAAGTTTAATTTATTTCTGCTTCAGTAACTGTTCGGTCTTGTACAGACAAATTTGCGCCATCGTTGTCCTTAAATGTGTTAAATGTTACCAGTAATATGACATTGATCGCGTTCTTTATCTTCTTTTAATAATTCTTCACAAATGTGACATACTTTTGCACTATTAAAATTATTACCTATGAAAATAATTGAACTTTAAACATTGCGATTTTGTAGCAATGTGTACATATCATAGCTTTGTTGCAAGCTACAAAATATTTACAAATCTATAGCTGGTTGATAGCTATATATCAAAAATTTTTAGATAACAATTTTATTGCGATATGACGCTAGGTACAATAGCCAGTGGATCTTCAGCTCGTTAAGCTAGCTGTCCTTTTAGCCAAATCGCTGTCTTTATCTTTAAAAATATCGATAGCTTTTCGCTAACTTAAAAAAGCTAGCGGTTCTCGTAGCCTAATTGCTGTCTTTATCGTAACGATTATAGCTATTCGTTAGCCGATTTATCGTAACGATTATAGCTATTCGTTAGCCGATTTTCCACCGGGTATTGTCATTAGGAGTAAAAATCATTTTTTTCGGAAATTTAATGTAGTCGTGATAAATATTTTTAATATTAGCTTCTAGGCTATCAACAAAAAATTTTGCAACATCATCAGTTTCACTACTTGCAGTAAATGTGACGGTACTACTTTGATATACACTTTCATCAAAACATTTAATATAATAACAGAATGAACTTGGAGTATCTTTTTGATATTGTTTAGTGTAGGAGTCATTTGTATTTGGTGTACAAGTGTTATATAGGTGTAATAAAACTTTCAAAGTCAGCATATACTACAAACGGAACTACAATCTCATAGATTTATTATAATTAGTAAACTTCATTGTTGAATTTGGAAGTTCAATACGTACTGAAATTATTAGTGTTACAATAAGATTTATGCTTTGATAAAGTTGGAGTAACTTGCTTGTAAACAATTAATGTTTTTTTGAATATCATAAAATGTTTTTTTTTATGCATTGGTGCGGGTAAATTCATAAATCCACAAAATTGTTGTAGGAGCAGCATGCCCCTTTCCTATTTCTCTCATGGCAATAATGGATCTCATATTACCATCCAATTGATATTACTCACCAGATCCATTATCAATTTCATCACTAGAGTATTATTTGCCTTATTTACTAAATGAGTAAAAAGAGGCTGTACATATAAACCTAAATAAAACAGACAGTCCTTTCTTCCTTGACAAATCTGTAGAAAGTTTAATACCCCTTGATTGACATTGAGAACACATAACATAAATTCGTATATGATATTTTCAAAAACAAAACTATCCAACATGATGTAACACTGTAGAAAACTCCAATCGATTAGGTAATGAAGTAAATTTTGTTGAAGTTGATGCTGATTTACTAAGGTAAGTTTCTTTGATAAAGTTAAAACATTAAAACTACTTGTCAACGTTGTGTTATTTACAAAACCAATTACAGAGACAATGTTGGATTCTTACGAAAGAGAACTTAAACTTTTGCCATGAAAACGTTGTTTTTTGAAAATTCTTGACCCACTTGTCGTCAATGTTTTTCCAGCATCAGCTATTTTATTTTCAATACTAATTATTATTTTCTAAATTTAAATAATAACCATTAAGTTAATAAATACATAAGCATGGCACCTAGAAGAAATTAAATATATTATGTTTAATTAACACACATATTAATATAAAAATAAAAAATATATATCTGCCAGCAGCAAAATCAAGCTTCTGATAAATTTTTCGAATATAATTATGTTTCTACTTTTGGTTATACTTTAAAAACTGCATGTGAATACCCTGGGTTACTTTTAAAAGTGTACCAATAATTCAAAAAAAATGAAGTAAGAATTTATTTTTCTTAAAAGATCCAAGTTAAAAGCCCTTATAAAAATTGCTTAAATTAGGCGTCACAATGGTTTTTTTTACCATCAAAGTCTAATGATGAAATTATATAATTTCTAAACATTTTTATGAAAAACAAATATCACTACCATTTTCTACGTATATGAAATAGAGGAAAACAGTATAATGTAAAATTTTGAAATTAAACAAATTAAACAAAACCGGGCACGATTATATGTATTTTGATGAAAATGTGTTATTGAACTCGAACTTAAAACTTATAATTTAATAAAAATTAGTGTATGCAGCATATAGCCACTCTAAACTTTGGATAAAATTTGAGTCGGATTGATTTACTGATTAAGAACTTATTTTAGTTTTAATTTGATATTTTGTTAATTTTTTACTACTTAGACCTTAAAACAATACCGATTACTGTGATATTCTGTCATTATTTTCAAAATAAAGGTTACATTAGTGTTCTTCATAAGTGTTCTACTTCATAAGTGTTCTACTTCATAAGTGTTCTGCTTCATAACTTTTTACTGCTTAATCTAATTAATCGAATTATGGTTGCAATTCTTTAAATATGCTTACTGTTCAGATCATTTTGCTAGTCTTTTGAGTGAGATGTTATTTTTGAAGTGGTGAGCTAATATTCAACCCTTAACGCAGTATCAACAATGCTTAGACAAAACTTGAGAAAACCTTTACCACCATCAATTCAGAGCCTAACATTTTTTTTTTTAATAAGTTGATTTAGATGCCTTAAGAAGTCCTTACGGTCTTATCATAGAGTACCGCAGAAAAGCATTTAATAGGAAGTTCACGCCTCCTTCCCAACCGATGTCGTAAAACTTGCCCAGAGGTGGGGTTTGAACCAGGGGTCTTACGTTCCTGAGGCAAGTACGCTACCATTGCACCACGGCTAACATAATATCCACTAGAATTTTTGCGATTGAATAACATGATTCACAAGACTTGATAAATCATCCCAATGAGCAATAACCTGATCTGTATTAGAATTTCCTTTTTGTTGGTATTTTTTAAGTCACTGCAGGTGAAGAAATCACTCAAGTGTTGATCTGCTCTTAAGAATTTCTTATAAAAATTTGGCTCAGCCATCTTGCTGCTTGATGGTTTGGTTTACAATTTGAACCAGTTTCTTTAATCTGTTATTTGATACTCCCAATTTAATTGTACAAGAAATAGAGTAGGTGATTTTGAAGCGCTTGATAGTGGCTGGACTCTACTTTGACTTTAAATATAAATGTAAAAATTATTTAAGTATAAATATTTACCAGAGGTAATTTTAAGTGGGGGACCGTCAGATATTTTAGCAAGTCAAATAGTTTTTTTAGGTGATAATTCTTTATTAGAAATAACTCGAGATGCAATTTGTTTAGCTGCTCAGGCATCTTTTGCTGCTAAAGAAGATTTCCTTTAAACTTTAAAGAGAACCTTCTTTAGCAGACCTTAAACTTTCTTTTTTTTGAGAGCAATGGTGGGGCAAACCTTTTTCAAAAGGTCAAAGGCATGTGTTGCAACGTACATTTGGTTTTTTTCTCAATGATGGTTTGCTCTTCAAGAAGATGTTTTCCTTAAAGCTTTAAAAGACCAATTTAGCAGATTAGGTAGTTACACATTGTGCTTCTTGTTTTAGGTGAAATTAAACAAAAGAATGAGTATAACTTCTTTTCCTTTTTGTTTCCTGTGCAAAATTGTTCTACCCATTTTGCAGAGTCCTTTGGGTAACAGAGAATCGCTGAAATTGATCTTTTTCTCGAAAAGCTGGCATATTCGATCTACTTAGGAAGCAATAAGCTGTCTTAAACACAGGTAAATTTATAAACGCTTTCAAACCATTTTTTAACATTTTTATGCATTTTGACGGTAGATTATGCCTTAGAAAATGCTGATATTTTCGCGCAATTCATTAGCCAAGTCAAACCACGTTTTAAATAGCAAATCAATATTTTGGTCTATAAAATGAAAATGGTAGTTGTAGCAATGAAACAATTATAAAAAAAATTGTTGGTATTACATAGTAGAACACTCTGTAACCATTAATTCGAAAATAGTGACCAAATATTACAGTACTCGGAAACGTTTTGAAGTCTAAGCAGCAAAAAACTAACTAGTGTAACGAGGGGCAAAATGAGACACTTAAGCGCTAATATATTTAATACGGCCCGTCTAAAAACTTTTGAAAAAATAAATTGATATTTTTCAACTCTTCTACGATCCTACTTGAAGCCTTAAAAGTATGAGTTGCAAAACTGCAATAGTTTGATCACCAGAGATCATTTATTGACAGCACCTATCCTGTCTTATATTGCCCCGCATACCGGGGCAAAATAAGACAGATTTTTTTTTTTAGTAATTTAAATAAGCAAAAAATACATTTTATAATATATTACAGCTATAATCAAACTGTCACTAGTCACATAAATCACATACTGCTTGACCAGTATTTTGAAACAAAAAACAGTCCGAATAAGCCCAGGTTGTGCATTTTGAAAATTGACTCCACTTATATATATATATATATATATATATATATATATATATATATATATATATATATATATATATATATATATATATACAGTAGCTTTCATAAATTTAGACGCATTCATTTTTTTTTTTCATATATGTAAGAAAATACTCAAAATAAAAATAAAATAAAAGTGCTACCGCTAAAAATAAAATAAAAGTGCTACCGTTTGATATATAATTTAAAAGAGGAAATGAAACTCTATTATAGAGTACCTTAATTTTTTTTACAGGATGTTTATTACTCATTTTATACCGATTAACACAAAAAAGTTAATTGATAAACTTGATTTTATTTTGTTCATAAATTTAGACGCACAACTAAAAAAGTCTTATATCTTGTTAATTGATAGTTAATTAGTAGTTTTTTTCTTATATTTCTCATTAATAGGCCTAAATTAAATGATTTTGTCAAAAAACCTTATATAAATATGACTTACCTGGAATTATTTAATCATTATTTAATAAATAAACAAAAGTTAAGTTAGTTTTGCACTAAAAAAACGTAAAAAATGAGCAAAAGACGTATCACTTAAGGTGAAAGATGGCAAATTATTGCGCACATCAAAGAAGGAACCAAAAGTAATAGAGAAATCGCCAAGTTAATTGGAGTTTCTGAGAAATGCGTTCGGACAACGAAACAAAACTTTCTTCACACTGGTGGTGCCAGCGAGAAAACGAGGCCAGGTAGACCCTTGTCAACCACGAGAAAGGACGATAGTGTTCTTTTTAGAGCTGTCAGAGCTAATCCAAGAATTAGTTACAAAGAATTGACCACAGAATTCAATACAACGCGAAATACATCTATTTCTCAAAGCACAGTCCGCCGAATACTTATCAAATACAAGATTGGAGTCTACACTGCTTTGAAGAAACCGCTTCTGCGTCCATATGATAAACAAAGGAGACTAAAATGGTGTCGTGAAAGAAGGTATTGGACAATCGATCAATGGGAAAACATTATGTGGAGTGATGAGAGTAACTTTGAGCTTATCAATCGCAAATCTAACATAGCAGTCAAAAGAATGGCTCACGAAAAGTATTACGCCATTACGTACATTAGACCAACTGTACAAAGTGGAGGAGGCTCGATAGGAATCTGGTCATGCTTCAATTACAAAGGTGTTAGTATGTGCCAAACATACACCGGAAGAATCAACTTTAGAATATACGTAGAAGTACTGGAAAACAACCTAATTCCATCAATTGACCTGCTTATGCTCAATGATAAACCATGGAAACTTCAACAAGATAGCGCTACTTAAGGAGACCTGGTATAGGGTCCCAGAAGCGACGTGCAAAAATCTTGTTGAGTCTATGCCTAGAAGAGTTCTTAGTTGTATTAAAGCAAAAGGCGGATACACAAAATATTGATTGGTTCATAAATTACGCCTTCTAATGTATCGTGCGTCTAAATTTATGAATAATTTTTTTGTCTAACTTTTTTAATACCATGTAGTTGTACCTAATTATTACTTAGTATTTCATTTTTTTTGTAAACTTTTTTTAAATTTTGTATTCTGTATGTATTTATCTGATAAATAGAAAAAAAACTAAACCGAAATCTTTTTTCGTCATTGTTTTATCGTTAAAATACCTAAAATTTTCTATTCTCAAATATGAGTGCGTCTAAATTTATGAAAACCACTGTATATATATATATATATATATATATATATATATATATATATATATATATATATATATATATATATATATATATATATATATATATATATATATATATATATATATATATATATATATATATATATATATATATATATATATATATATATATATATATATATATATATATATATATATATATATATATATATATATATATATATATATACATATATATATATATGTATATATATATATATCCACTACAAGAACTAATAAAACCATACATGCGTATATTAAACTTATGTATTTAAAGCATGCATAACATTCATTGTATTTTGTTTATAAGTACTGCAATAACCTATATGTCATAATCTACTCACTATATATTTTATATACTACTTACTTTATTACATTACAATACAATAAGATTATAAAATCTAAACATAGTAATTATAAACATCAGGTTATTATTTGCTTCAATTTGATTAAATATTTATTATATTTAAATATAAGTTAACAAAATATAAAACGTACTTCTTTATTGGATAACAACTAAACATTTCAATTAACAAAATAAAAAGTAAGTAAATACAGTATAATAAATTTAAATCTACAGCATGTAAATATTAATATTTGCTTTGGTTGTTGTTTTAATGTAAAAAATTAAATAAACATAATATTGTATATCGGCAAAACAAAATACATTACAGAATGTCTCGTTTTACCCAGCATCATGTTGGCATCGAATAGCCTAATTTCCAGACTATTTTATTGAAGAAATAAAATACCAAAGAATGGAAATGATAGAAAAAGGCCTAAAGATTCTAATTAAAAAAAACTTTAAATATAAAAAGCTTTTCTACTCAGTGAGATCAAAAAAAGCTAGGAAAAAATATAATAACAACTCTTAAAAATTCGTAATTTTTGCAAAGCCGAGGGATGAAATGATTCCCCTTTTACTCAACTTTTTTATTTCAAAGTGACTCAATATATTTTTATTGACACAAAATAGTTTTTGAACACAACTGCACTTTTAAAAATCTTGCAAATAATAATTTGTAGGGCTGGCATTATGTTAAACGCGAACTGTCTCGTATTGCCCCGCTGTCTCATTTTGCCCCGCGTTACCCTAAATATATATTAAAACTGCCATAAATCTTTAACCAGTTAATCAATTCGACGGAAATTTTATCCAGAATTTAGAGCGTCCATTTGCACTAATTTTTATCAAATTGTATAAAGTGGTTCTCATTGTACAGGTGTTTTTATTGACGCACTCTAAAGTCAAAACTTCACTTAATTTGGACATTTAATTATTTTTAATTTGAACATTAAATTTTCACAGACAAAATTAAAAGATTTAAAAATATGCATCATTGTGTATGCTATCACTCCATATAAATGGCGTTCTTAGCTCAGCTAAGTTGGCATTATCAGGATCCGTGTTAACCGTCCCAGTGGGCATGCGTCGTCCAGGGTTCTACGACCTACGGGATACTGGACGTCCGTGAGAAATGCGGTGGACGTCCCCCGGACGACACGTGCTTAGTGTGGTGACGTCTAAACAAATTGTTAGTTTCGTTTTTAGACGTCTATAATACTATATTTAACAATAATAATAAAAATTTATAATTATAGATGTATTATCTTTTATTCACTAGTTTTTTAAAATTATACTATCTGTAAAAAGAGATATTTATACAATGAGTATACACATTTTATCACAATGGCTAACTTTGTATACACTAGTTAAGGGAAATAAAGGTAAGCTGTTATAATAAATGTATATTTATGGCTTTAAAAAACATTTAACATACTAATAGTGTTTTATGATTAAAAGGAAAACGTATGTATTTATCATTATTATATTTTTTAAAAACAAGAAGTTTAAAAAGAGTTTTGTAAACTTAGTTGGTTTTGTAATATAAAGTTTAATATGTGTTTATTAAATTTTATTTCAGTATGGATTAATTCATTTAACAAAGTTAATTTTTGCTCGCCTGCAAACTTACCAAATAAAAATATAATTCTTCAATGTGATGTCGGTACGAGTGGTTTTTCAGGAAACACTTTTGAGATAAATTTTAATTATTATTTTAATGGGTCTATCAAACGCTTTCAAGAAGAAAAAAATTTTTTGAATGAAACAAGGATATTATGGAGCGGAGTTAAAAAATCATATTATAAACTACAACGTAATTTGACTATATATAATGTTTCAAAGAGTGATATAAATGTTTATTTTTGTTCTGTGTATGGTGTATATGGTAATGATACATTGTTAGCGAGAGAGAATTTTACTTTATCAAACATTGAAAGCAATAGTAAGTGTTTTATATTTTGTTATTAATGAATTATATATATATATATATATATATATATATATATATATATATATATATATATATATATATATATATATATATATATATATATATATATATATATATATATATATATATATATATATTGATAATAGATCTTACAATCAAGGGTATTTCGAATATTTAAAACTTATCTTTATTAAATACCAAATACCATGAAATACTATTATTAACATATTATTTCATGGTATTTTGTATTTACTTAAGATAATAGCAATTTTAAAATAACAATTAAATATTATGCACAGACAGGAAAGCTACAAACAGTTATATACTGACAAAACGTAACAACCTACCATGTAGCTAAAATAACTACTGTAAAAAAAGTAACAATGATTTAATAAATAGAACAATCCTAATATCAATAATCATAATAAAAACAATATAAGTACTATAAATATTTCATAAAAAAAAACAAAAAATTAACAAATTTTTTTTTTCAATAACTCTCGCAAAAAAAAATGTGTCACACAGACACACACACATATTAAGTGACGAAAAGTAAGAGTGTTCATAATAGATGAAAATGTTCAAATAAAAAAGGAAATCCCATCATAATACCACATATCATCAAAACACATATCAAAATTAATGAAAATTACAAAATTAATGTAATTAAAAAATTATTCTATATGTTTTCATTAAAGATTTTTAAATTTTATTTTAATTCTTTTTTACTACTTTTTATTCAAAAATGTTTTTTTTTTCTCTTAATTTTGTTTTTTTTTGTCTTATTTCTTTTCTAGTTTTTTTCTTTTATTTATTTGTTTGATTTGGTTTTTTAATTTTTATATTTATTTTTTTTCTTTTTCTTTTCTTCACTCACTTTATTTTCATTTTATTTATTTTTCTTAAAAATCCATTAAACTTTTTCTTTTTCTTTCTTACACTTTTTCTTTTTTTTTCTTACACTTTTTTTTTTTTAATTTATTTATAAAATTCATTTTATAAAAGCGTCCATCATTTTACAAGTCTTTGCACTATTAGGGATTATTTTTTTCCGGATATTTCTGAAATTCCGGATATTTTTTTCAACTTTTAGTTTTTTCGGATATCCAAAACTTTTTAAATACATGCATATTAAGGTATATATTTTTGTAATATACTTGTTTTTTAAGCTTTTTACTCATCACTCATAAAAAAATTATAAAAAGTGTCAAAAAAAAATTGAAACAACTTAGCTAAAAGTAAAATTAAAAAGAAAATAAAGGAAAATAAATACTGGATTTTTAAATTATGACTTGGATGATCTAGATTAGTTTGGATTGTTTGTGATCTGATTCATACTGGTGAATTAGGTTTATGGCATCTATTTGAATATTTAAATGACGCAAAGCTTACTTATAATAAATTTCAATCTCAGTCACCCATTTGTCCACAAAAATGGGTAACTGAGATTTAAATCAATACAAATTTTATTAAGGATTTAGAAAGCGATATAACTCAAGTTAGTAACCTTAGATTAAGAAGAATGCCAGAAATAAATTCTAATGCTGAACAGCTGTAAGACCTTATAACATGTAGCTTAAGTTTAACTGAGCCTCCAACTACCTGTACTCTAATAAGTGCTTGACTTAAAGTGAGGGTAAGGGGTTTAATTTTTTTTAATTAATGTGTACAGTTGCAGAGAGGGGGGAATGATTAAAAAGATGAACTAAAATCAGAAGCAATACTGTGTACATACTTTATATATGCTGCCCAGTCTTTCATAAAATCTATTTTGCCAACCTAAGTAGCACCAATGCTCACTTCAATATTATTCAATATTAACATGTTTCAATTACTGTAATAATTTTTATATTTTTCCATCTTATATAATGTTTGTGGCACAGTAAGGTCATGAAAGTTGGGGCTGAAGCAAACAGGGTTGACATTTCGCAGAACAAGGATAAAAGTTATCCCTTTGCTTTGAGTAATTTTGGCAGGTAGAGGGTTTTTGTCCATTTTCCACCATTTATATATGCCTATGCATGGTGTATATTGTATATTATGCTAATAGATAACAATAATAAAACTCAGCACTAAACCATGAATAATTAATGGCTAAAATAACCAAAAATATGAAATATTCAAATCAGAATTTATCGAGCTAGCACTTATTAGAATTTCAATCCATACAGGAATGAATAAGAGATTTGCAGTGGTAAAGAATGGAATCAGGAGTAAGATAATGGCAAACATCATAAGAAGAAACAATGTTAGCAGATGCTAACTTATCAATAGGTTATACATATGGTTTCCATGAGAGGTTAATAGTATATGCTAATCCGTATATACTAATAAGACGTAAGGAGGAGGACTTGGAGTTGAAATTCACAAGTCACTGCAAGCACCAAACTTTTACAGAAGTGAGATCAGATCATCATTGAAAAGATTGGCTGCATGTTCAAATTAAAATTTAGACATAATATTGTCAGGAAGATCCATAATGCAGATAAGAAACAAAACAGGACCAAGGATAGAAGGGTAGAACCTTGAGGTACCACAGAAGTTATTAGAAATGAAGAAGAGTGCTGGCCTTTCCGAATGACTTTGATAAAGCAGTTAGAAAGAAATGATTTGATTATCTCAAAAACTTTCCCAGATACAAATGAAGCAAGCTTATGAAGAAGACCAGCATGCCAAATTTTATTGAAAGCATTAATTATATCAAAAGCAATAGTCCTTGCCTTGCCAACTTACCATCTTACTTACCATCTATCTTATCAACTTACCATGCACAACAGAATCTTTCAGTAACAGCAGTTAGTGAGTCAGCTCTACAACAAGAATATCCAAAACCGTATTGATTGTCGGACAGTAAGTTATTTTTTTAGAAATTTTTTGATTGAAGACTCAAAGACCTTACTAATAATGCAGAGAAGACTAATGGGATGATAGTTAGAGGGATAAAAATGTCTCCAGATTTTTTTTAAATTAGAACCAAAGGATTCCATTTTCCATCAGGTACGAATTTAAGATTAAGTCAAGCACTTATTAAATATTTTTGAGAGAATTGAAAAGAGTTTCAGAAAATGCCTTTTGTAACTGAATGAATGTTGCCTGGACCATAGACAAAATTATTTGAGATATGAGCAATGGAAGCTGAAGTGATTTGAATTAACTATGGGTTAACCTATTTAACTGGAATAGCAGGGAGGGTATGGTTATAAGATTCAAAAGTTGTTTTAAAAGAAAAGATTTTGCAAACTTCATAGGTCAGACAATTTTTAATTTTCAAGCTATTTCTTAAACATTCAATAAATTTAATTATACTTAAGGCATTACATTAGCCAGACTTTTGATATTTTTTAGTTAAGTGGTTCTTGCCAATTTGTTCATGGGTCAATTTGAAAATAAATGGATCAAAAATTTTAATGATGTAAAACCAGTTTTCCACAAAAGATTCGTTGATGGCATTTGTGCTGCTTTCCAGTCAGAAAATGATGCACATCTTTTCCTTAGATATATAAATAGTAGACCAGAGGTGGAAAATAAAGAATTACATATATTCGCATTACAGTAATTGAGTAGTTATTTTGAGAATTTCTACTTTTTGAGTATTTTTTTATAGTGTACTTTTACTTTTACTTAAGTATTTTTTTTCTAAAGTATTGTACTTCACTACATTTGAAATCATATGTGTTAAAAAAAATTACTATGTATTGTTTAATTACACAAATACTATGATTTAATTTTTTTGTTTTTTTGAGTTTTGCTCACTTTAATAAAAAAATGACACTTTTAAATTGTTTAGAAAAAAATGTTGAGCGCGCTCATAACGAGTTTTAACTGCTTTAGCTTGGTTTCTTTTCACTTTTTATGACTATAAAAAAACTTTCTGTGCAAAAAAAATGTTTTTGCACAGAAAAGAATAGACTACGTGATTTTTGTTTTTTTATTTGACAGCTTTGTTACTGAAAAAGTAACGCTGTAACTTTTACTATGACTACTTTTTACTTTTACTTAAGTAAACTTATCGATTGGTAACTTTTACTTGTACTTGAGTAAAATTTCACTCAAGTAACAGTACTTTCACTTGAGTACAATTTTTTTTTTACTTTTTTCACCTCTCTAGTTGACACAATCCTATTTCTTTTACTATGGAACAAGAAGTAACTTCTATATATCTTTTTTAGACTTACACAAAACTATTTCTTCAGTTACCACTACCGTTTTTTCGTTTAAAAACCTATTCTGATCTTCACACTAATATTTATAGTTTCTCCTTTTTCGCACAGAGTTAGTCTAATCAAATGCTTAATTGATAGAATGTTTAAAATTAATAGTACTAAACTTGGGTTTCACTCTGCCATAAATGACCTCTTTAAAGTATTTCAAAGAAGCATGTACCCAACTTGACTTATTTGAAAAATTTATAACTCCTACTTAAACAAGATTAATTCAAATCCTCCACCACAAACAAAAATCAAGCAATCTTTGTCTTATTTTAAACTGCTGTATTTGGGGAAAATTATCTGATTCAACTAAAAAAAGACTGAGTTCAATTGCTAAAAGATATTGCCATTCAGAAACTATTAAATTAGTATTTACCTCACTGAAAATTTCTAAATTCTCTTTCTTCTAAAGATCCTATTCCTCTAGAGTTCAAATCATTAATGGTGTATAAACTCGTATGTGCAGGATGTAACTTCTGTTATATAAGCAAAACTACTCGCTATCTTAGGCTTGGCCAGAAAGCCGTGCGATGTTGAATACTGGATCTTCTTGTCTTAATGCATTCGATTGTATGACTAGGCAACTAATTCTATTATCTCCTAATGAGGTTACAACTCTAAAACCCAGTTTTATGGTTCTGAGGCTGGCTGGTAGTCAGGTTTTCTAAACTCTGTGGTAGCTTTCAGAAAGGTTGATTCCATTAACAACTGTAAAATATCAGAGTACTAACAGTGCTCGGTTTGAAAATGTTGACTTTTTTGCTGACTAAATATTCTAAAATT